ATTTTTCTTAAATTCAGTCACTCTCTGCAATATCTATATTTGGAAGCAAAATTTTAAACATCTTTAAAAATTGTAGTAAGGAAATAATATGTGTGTTGCATTTCCCAGAGATACATGGAAAATCACAAAAATGTATCCAGTGTGGTTTCTTGACATTTTAAAATTTTGTTTGTGTCAGGATAGTAGTAGTTCAACTGCTTGTCCTGATTCAATGCAGAAGGCATCAAGTCTCCTAAATGGTATGGTTCTTGAATTAATTTATGTTCCTTTTTGATCAAAAAGTACCATTTGATCAGCTATTATTATCTGTGTTGCATTTCTATTTCTTTTTTATGTGAAAACAGAAATGGCAAATGCTTCTGTTTCCCAGAAAAGATAGCTCTTATTTCAGCTCTGTAGAAACAAAGTTTTTAACCATTCTTGAAGTGATTGGATATAATCAAAGCAACACCCTGTGTGCATGTGTTTCTGTGTATAGCTGGGCCTGTGGCCTTTTAAATTCTGTACATCATCGTGAGTGCTGTATATAAAGTAGATTAGAGTAAGACAGTCAGCTGCTGGTGGAGGGTTATTGCTATTATGATTGCTCCCATCATTCACACCCCTGCAAAGAAAGCCAGGAACCAACTTTTCTTTCTCTAATATTACAGTCAAGTTGTTTTCTTCCCCCTAAAAAGCAGAAATGACAGGGTGGTAGGCACTGCTAGTAGACGTTGCTCTTTGAGGGTTCGTTTCCCAAAGAAAGAATATTGATGATGATTTTCTAGCAGCTGGGGATACACTGATTTATACATCAGATTTTATTTGTGGATGTCGGTGTGTTTGTGGATGCATAGAGGCTGTAGGAAGATAGCAGGACAGTTATTTTCTGCAATCCCCCTTAGCATGTTCCCATTCTGGTTTTATTTTCCAAATATTTCTTGTATTGTACTGGCCATGGTTAGCCCTAACCCAGGAGGTTAGGTCTCTGGCGTGCTGAGCATGCTATAAAAATACAGCTAACTATGAACCCTGCACAAAGAGCTTCTAGTCTTTAGCCAGCCATTTTACAAATGTACAGCTTCCACTGGAAACTGGCTGACTAGGAAAAATATGCTTTTCTTCAAAAGACACAAACAAAAAATGAAGTTTTGACCTTCAACCCGAGTGAATATGCAGTCTCTCTACAGGGTATTTTTAGCAAAGGTGACAAACTTTCAGTGGCAGATACTGTGACTTTCTTGATTTGTAAATCACCAAAAAAGTCTGCCAGTAAATAAAAATAATATAAAGAGTTGCTGGAATATCCTTTTTTTCTTCCTCTATTAGTAACTTAAAGGAAAATTTATTTTGCATAGTTACTAATTTATTTTATGTTGAAAGGGAAAGAGATCAGTTTACAAAGATTTTTGTCCTGCTTTTTCTCCTTTTCTTTTGCTCATGAATTTTTTTAATGTGCATTTTTTTTATTCTTTCAGAAACGCGAAAGGCAAGGTTTAGCTAAGGCATAATTCTTAGAACTATAACTCTGTTTAAGTTCTCGGATATATTTTTACTTTTTCAAATTTGACAATCATCTCTTTTTTTTCACTGCCTAAAACTGACATAGTACAAACATGCTGATCCCTATCACTGCTTCTCCTTCATTTCAGAACAGGTCTTTGCATATCTTATCAATGAGCTGATCAAACTGGTGACACTGGGATTTCAGTGCCTTTTGACAGCTAAAACTGCTGTGCTTTTCTCAAGCTAATTATTTTTTTCAAGGGGCAGTCACTATCAGATTCTCCAAGCTTCTTTTTCCACCCCCACATCAAGCTAGAAAATGCTTAAAAGGTTTGCTTCTCTCTCCCTCCCTCCACCTACTAAGATTACTTTGAGAATAAAAGAAATGGTAGTTAGTATGAAATGTTGAGGGTTTACTTCATCTTTAAATTATTGTACAGGAACTAAAAAAAACCCCACTACTTCTGAATCATTCTATAGAGATTTTATAATTTTAAACAAAATACTGTCTTGGACAGGTTTTTTGCATCTCTGCGACTGTAATCCACAGCCAACCTTTAATGGTACTAATGTAAAAAGAGTCTTGCCTCATACTACCCTAAAATTTTTGCAAGAAATATTTTTTGCCTTTCCTCAGTTCTTTAGTAAGCCACAACAATTATGGATATTGTACATGTGCTCATCAAGGGTCAAATAAAGAAAGAAGCACAGAATCTTACTTTTTGTTATTGGGTAGCTTTACTGGAATTCTGTGGTGGCTCCATCTTCTTGTTAATTACCTGCTGAACAGTGACACTGAGGCAGTTTTATATACCTTTCCTTTTCAGTGTTTGGGGTGGCAAGAAGTTTAGGGATGGAAAGGTTGTGAATAGTCAACCTGCATCATTAATACCACATTTCCCCTCCTAACAACAACAATATAAGGTGGATTAATTTTTGCTGGTGTGGTGAAAATAATTTTAAATCCAATTAAAACTGTAGTAATAAAGATCTTGACTGTTGTCTTACAGTTTATGTTTATATACAGATGTTCTCAGTGACACATTTTATTGTGTAAAGACTGCAGCCTTGTGTTATATTCATGCCTAGTCTAGATGGGATTTCTGAGCCAATGTCCAAGCTGAAAAAATTCACCCAAAACAAGAGCTTTGTCCAGAGTTACTCAAAGAATTAGAGTCTTTTTAGAGAATTAGCTCTTCTGCAGCTTCAGTTTTGAACACTCGATGAGTTACTGTTAAGTAATTGCTTTGTACAATGGTAGAAATTGTAAATTAAGCTCTTATAAAGTGTTATGAATTACAGACTTTACTGCATGGTGAGAGAAGGAAATTCTGACAGATTTGAGTGGCTGCAGACAGAAAGGCCCTATATTTTAGTCTATATTTATTTACAGATTTTAGAAAATAAACTGGGAGACTTATCACATTATCCAATGGCTAGGAACACTAAAACAAATAAATTAATGAAAAGAACAACTGCTCTTTATTGAAAGATGTCCCTTTCCAGACTGCTTTACAGAAAAAAAATCCAGAAGGGAGTCAGAGAAGAGAAAGAATACAGACTACAGAAGCATAATCTGCTGTGATTTACAGACTGTATAGCACGATCTTAATTTAATAGACTTGGGGGAAGCATTGTGTAGTATTATCAGTTTCATTCTGCAAAATCAGTATTTGTTCATTAAGGAAATAGCATACACTCCACTTTCAGGATTTAAGGGTGCAACTCTGTTTTGTAGAATGGTTAGTGGGCATGAAAAATAGAAGGAGCTAGCAAAACTGATTATAGTTTTAGCTTTACTTTCCTCAAAAATGTAGGAAAAAAGACACAATTTTGAAAATGGCATGTAAGTTAAAGCTGTCACTGGCCAGCTTTAAATTATGTGATTCTCACTTAGCCAAGATGTTGCTAGAGGAATTCCTTGGCTCTCATTAACATGGAATAATCTCTCTAGACTTCACACACAGCAGACATACACAGACACATACAAATTTCTACTGTCAGTTGTGCATTTCCAACTGCAAAACAATGCACAGACTGCAACAGTTCTTCAAGCTAAAGATTTTGAGTTCCCAATATCTTTTCAGGCAATCGTCTCTTTTGTTTTGGGAACAGTGTTGCTAAAATTTGTCTGGTATAAGGAAGAGTTATTATCTTCTGTGCAGCATCTTGAGTGCTTTTCATTTTTCCTGTTCACTAGGCACAGAGTGAGAACTTCAAAAGCTATACTGAGCTTTTGCTTCCGCTGTAACATTGTGGTCTGTCATAAAGGTGAGGAAGTTTAAAGATCGTAAGAAGTGGGGAAAACTCCAGTAATGCCCAGTGAAATTCTAAAGGGCCATATAGGAATCTGCATCTTAGTTTTCCTTATAAAATCTTAAATTCCACCTGAAAAGTCATAGCCAGGTACAGCATCTTCCTGTGTACAACCACTGACCGTGAGAATGCATAGCTTGAATTACAGATACCAAAATCAGGTAAGTGAGTGCCATTTTTATGTGAACTACTGCAATTATAATTTGCAAAAGTCTCTTAGCATTGGTGTGTGTGGGGCTGTCCCCTGGCATCTGGGATCTTCTGTGAAGGAGCTCTAGTTGCAGAAAGTATATGGTTCAGAGCTAGAATAATTCGAGCTTGAAGCTTGCTCAAAGCAACACAAGGGGGTCTTTCTCCCCCTAACAAATTAGTTGTTGCTTTTCTTTCCTTATGTTACTAATTTCCTAGCTTGCTAACCCAACCTTTTCATCCTTTCCCATTTTTTTTTTCGGGCATACAACCCTTTGCACAGGGAGATATGAGAAATCTGAGGCCATTGTGTGAAAAAATCCAAAAACTATTCAACTTTGAAAAAAGATGGTAGGAGAGGATGGAGCCATGTTGTCAGACATTGGCTGATAAGCAGAAAGAAGTCAATTCTGACTCCTCTGAATATTCTATTGGTGCCAGCCAAAGCAAATCTGTACTCTCACTTGGAGGCGTTACACACAGACTGACTGTCATGGCATAGATTGTGTAGACCAGGCACAGCACAATAAGGACAGAATAATATAAACTCTGATTCATTTGCATTAGCTTCCCTGACCTATGAGTTTTGGGGAATTTTTTGCCTTAACTTTCTCTCATTTTGGGACCAGTTTCTTCCAGCTGGATAAATACTGGTGGATAAAATCTCTGTTGCCTAAGGTGAGCTGCTGCTGCTGCACATGTGATACATGGAAAGGATGAATTAGAATGGAAGGGCCTGGATAAAGTTTAGATGGTAGAGAAAGTCCTGCTACTTGTTGGTTTTATGAAACTCTACCTCAAAGAAATCTGCCTTTTTTTTTTTCCACCTTTTTGGTTTACCAAGATGAACCACACATTGCACAAACCATTACAAGTAAGCATTTTCTATAGAAAGTAGATCAGGCAAGATTCACTAAAAATGTTCATGCTGAACATAAGGTGCAAATCAAATTTTAAGCATGTGTTGATTGTGATCTTAATCTCTCCTTGCAGCATGGACACTGCCAAAGCAGTGATGATGGCCATGTAAAACCAGAAGTGAGCCTGCCATGTGCTGAACACCCATGTCCATGGACTCTCAGCTCCCCAGCAGTCAAGTATCTATGAATTACAAAGCTGAAATTTATGTTGTCTGTGAGTGCTGAGCTCTATCAGATGTGTTGTAGTCCCAGTGTGTGATGCACATGCCGATATGGCACTCTATTTTGTGCTATCTTTTATTTTTCCTGCTACCGTCTTATTCCTACATAAAAAGTCATTTGCTGTCTCATACCTCAAAGCCCTTTTGATGAGTTTGTGAAGAGCCATTTCTGAATGATTTTTCTGTTTGGTTTATGATTCTTTATCTTTTCCTTAAGATGTTATTGCTTGGACTCTTGTTTTTTCCCAGAGGAAACAAAATTTAATCATGGTTATAAATAGAGACAGTTAGGTTATGTAAGTTTGCCATGCTATTGTTTTAATTAAAAAAAAAAAAGATTAATTGGTTATCATATGGTCTCTCACATTAGTCTGTGCTGATCACTGATCCTTGCAATAATGTATTATCATCTTGTTTTATCCACTGCAACTGTATTTTCATTTATTCTTGGCAAATTGCTACAATCACTGTTAGAAGTTTTTTTTCAACCAGTTTTAAAATTAGTCTTAAAAATTGCAGTGCTACACACTAGAAAGTTCAGCCAAGATGGAGAACATAAAGTGATATTTTTAAGAAATAAGCAACATTTAGAGTATTTCTCTGTAATTGTATACAGCTACAAAAAAATCTTTGGAAAAACCTCTTTTGCACAATTTCATCTAAACTCTTTTCTTGAATTCATCCTAGGCTTTTTAAAAAAATACTTATTTTCCTAAGCCACAGCATTTTTCCAGTATAACAGATTTTTAGGTGAATGGTAAACATATATCTGATTTACAGCCCTGTGCCTCATGCAAGACTGGAAGGACAGTATGTCTCTGAAACAGAAAACTCACAATATATTGTTACACTCCTCTCTGCATTGCTTCCCCTGCATCTTTTCTAAAAAACTGTAAAAAACTGATTCCCTTTAGTGTTCATACTTCATGACAATTCAAAGGTCAGGCTCAGCTGACAAGCTCAGACAGCTTGGTCACCTGTTGCCTGTTAATATGATCTTTTCTGTCTTGAAATGGTATCTCCCCAACAGCATCCTCTTTTCTGGAGTAATGGAAGTGATGTACTTAGCTAAGTACAAAAATATCCAATCTCCAAAATGTGTCAGTCATGTAGTCTTAAAAATGTTGGAGTTGATTTAGAAATGTAACTGGGAATGCTCATGACAAAGAGGAAGCAAGCCAGTTTCTGAATGCAATTGTTTTTTGCAGAGAAAATTTCCAAACTGGAATTTGTTATTTAAAATACATATTTTTTTTAACTTTTGCATTTTCTGTAATTGCAATATAATGACAAATAAGGATACATAGCCAATAAATAAAAATAGTGAATTTGAGGAATGCATGTACAACATATGTATTTCATATTTTTGATTTACCTGAAAAAATGTGATTTATCAGAGAATTTACATGCTTTAGAATATAGTTATGGTAAAATTTCTGATTGAAGAAGGCAAGATTTTGATAAATAACTAACACTTAGTTCTGATTTCTGTCAAAAAATGCACAAACTTTTATCTGCAGTTGTCGGTGAAATCTATAGCTTCTACTTTTGCCATATTTTGTGAAATCAGCCTCTTAAAATTTGTGACATGAAGCACAGATCCAAATATATTTAGTGCAAGAGTTAGCAGAAGCCAGTGTGCTATGTCAGAAAACTGAATCTCTTGATATTTGTGTGTGAAATGATCATGGTGAGAGGGAATATGTTCAGACCCAGATGCAGAATGAGGAAAATCAAATTAAAAGACAGCATTATCTCTCCAAAGAATTACTATGAAAATATTTGAGAGAGGCACTTCACAGCCAAAACATATGCTTAGACTCAATAAATACTATCTTTCAAGCATATTAAGATCCTGTTTTTAAGTCAACACTTCTGATTGCAGCAGTTAATTTCTTCATAGTGTAAGCTCAAGGACTGTGGACCAGCTTTGCACAAAAAACTCCCAAAGAAGCACCACGATCCTCTTTGTGTCCCTGAAATCTGCTCTTGATTTGTTTGTGGTATTTTTACAGAAGGTCCTTTAACTTTAATATAGGGTATAATTATATATAAATAATAGTAATCAATAGAAAGAGGCCAGATCAAGATATTAAAAAATTTTAAAAATGCTTTTTTTAATGTCTTAATGAGAAAATAAATGTTTTTTTTCCAAATTAGGAAGAAACTTTTTTTCATCATTTTTATAAAAGGACATAATTTCCTTAGTATTGTTATAAATGAATTAATACCTCTCTTTGGTAATTACTTGGAAATAATCATAATCCAAAAGAATTAGTAAGTAATATTAAATAATGCAAGGAAAGAATGTACACCTTGCAAACAAAACAGCATCGAGGTGCAGCTACAAAAAAAGCATCAATGTAGTGCAATCAATGCTGCAGACAATATCTTTAAAATCTGTCATCCTGCCTTTTGCCCTTTATATTAAGTCAAAGAGAAGGGGCTATAATGAATGAGTGTGTCTTCATTCTCCTCGGCACTGGTTCTGTACAAACCTGGCAATATGACATTCAACATGATTAATTCTGGATTGTAGCTCCACTTTATTTTTTCCTATGTATACATATAAAGTGTTTCCATTATTTTAAAAAACCCAAACCAAATATAACTTTAGACTAATTCCAAAAGTTATACTACAAGATGACAGACCCAAAAATGCAAGGTTATTGATATATTTTTAGTGGTACATTACCTAATTTTTCATGGTTATCTTTTTTTCTCCCTTTTACAATATAGTTTAGCAATGTGAAAATGCTTAACATTGTGAATGCAAGGCTGGTCAGTTTATAATTAGTATCTTAATAGGTTTTCTGCATTAAAAAATAACACTGAACTGGAAGAAATCTTTCGGTATTAGCACATAACATGAAGTTTATTGTGCAAAACTTTGCTATTTCGTCTTACTTTATATCAGAAGGGGGCACTAGTGATCCATTATAAATAGACAATGCAATTGCTTTTGTTGTGCCATATTTAATAATTATAACAGTGATAATATAATCTTGAGGGCATTTGTGTGCAAATTAAGATTCTAAATATATAGTGATAACTCAAAAATTTAAAATAATTAATAGACTGTGTGTAAATACTATCAGTTGCCTTTCATAATCTTTTAATATTATTATTGATATATAATTCTTACAGTTCACGTATTGTTTGTAAGGATGAACTATTTCTGATTGTCTAATATCTAATTCTGATAATTAGTAATCATAAGGAAGTGAACTTGAATTGTAAAGCATCTTGGTAATGTCAATTAATATATTTATGAAAATGTCAGAAAATAGGATCCTACTGTTATATAAGATATATATGTGTTTTGAAATTTAAAGTAACTTATAGGTAACACAAAGAAAATATGTTATCTAATGGTATACATTTGTCTTGTTTCATATTGGATTAAATGGAGAAAAAATAGTCTTTACCATGTTGTTTACTTTTTCTTATTGGGTTATCTAATACTGTATTTTTTAACAGATATCTTACTATTGCTTTGGCCTATAAACTCATGATGAGGTGTCTTTAATGTTTCATGGAATCAGCTTTGGTACACGAGCTCTGTGTTCAAGAAAAAGCAGTGAACAACAATATAGTTTCTATTCTTTATCCTCATTTCCTCATTGTTAACAGGATAAAAACTGGAAAAGTACATAAAACTGCCAAAAAATATTGGTCAGTGGCAGCAGAAAAAACGTCTGTTTTTGATTTGGAGGTTATGATATTTTATTGTAATATAATATGTACTTATTGGATATGTAGATGGAAGCATTTGTTAAACAATACCTATCCACAGATGATTAGATGCTCTCTTGAATTTTCCACTATTATTTTCATATACAGAAATGCAGGCCAATGGAAAGCTGAATTTAGTACTCAATAACTGAGTCAAGCTCCACCAAAAAATGCAGTGGTTTATGACATTAAAATAGGGGCAATATGAACTTTTCCAAATTTCAGACTTTGTTTAAGGCCAAAACATTTTTCATTAAAATTATTTGCAAGTTATCAGCCTATTGTTCTTTTCAAAATGCAATTAAATCTTAAAATCTCAGTCAAAAGAAAGTTTTATCATGCTTTAAATGCAACTCCAAGGTGTATGTATGTTAATAAATATAGATAAGTTCTTTGTGTGTGCATTTAACGAGGCATTTGTCAAACAAAAGTGCACTTTTTCATGCAGGAAATTCTAGTTGTTCCAGATCTGCTATTAAATCCAAGCAAGCACATATCTGACCTCATACCCTTGAATCTTAGGTTCTTTCATTTCAATTTTCCTAACACCAGTAGTCCTTTCCAGATAATTATCAGTGAAAGTTACTGCCAGAATAACTGAAAGCTCATTGTTTTATAATGAGAGAACCTATTGGAAGACCTGTCTCTCCTGCCATTCTTTAGTGTAGCCCCTTTTTTTTCTTTATTCTTTTATTCTTTTTTTTTTTTTTTTTTTTTTTT